GGTAAAAATGATATAAAATTGTGGAGAGCCATGATCACCAACGTCCTTGAATGTGACACGGTACACAGAACATGAATATTTATTGTCAATATCACACAATATGATTACTATATGCTTTTTTTATATTGCAGGCATACAGGGCTTTCAAAGCCACATCGATGAAAATGGTGATGCATTAGGGAACTACTCGATTTTGGCATGGAAAGAAGGAATCCCTGTAAATGGAACCGCCAATTTTTCAATGCACCCCGTAGGATCATTCACAATCGATCCAAGTCAAATTCTTCCTGTAAGTAAATTTAATTATTCAAATTAAAGTTAATTATTCAAGTAATAATTTCTAAATTAAAATTTCCAATGCTAAAATAGATTTTTGAAAGATTTAAACGTTCTTTCAGAGCAATGATTGCATAGCTCCTCACATAATAATCACGGAAAGAGAAAAATGTTCAGATGAACGCTCCTTTCTTTATTTTACAATTTCAGATCTTTGCAACTAGGACACGCCATACTATAACCAAATCTTTCATATTCCATTTTTTTTTTTTTTTTTTGAATCATTTCACTCCGAGTAAAAAACAACTAAGATGCAAAGGGGTGGCACTGAGTGTCAGAGAAACTGGGAAAGCGTTACTGTGAAGAAAGAACAATAAAAACATTCAAAGAGGCAGACGGCTATTGAGGTTGCATCTACATTTTGGAGAATTGTTCTTGGCAGGAAAAGACCGAAGAGATTTCGATAGAGAAGTGCAAGAGAAGAAACTACATTTAGCAATTTATACAGTAAATAGATGAACCCGACTTTCTTCTTCTTTTATATGCCGTTCTTTAAGGACGAAGACGATCATGGCTCTCCACCCCCTCCTGTTCCTTGTAGCTCCTCTCCCGGAAGAAGTCTCTGTCGAACTCTCTGCTTTTGGGCAGTGGGGAACCCAGGCGAGGCTATGCCGAAGGGCAGGGTTTCGTCGGGGGGAGGTAGACAGACACGAGCTCGTATATGCGGGGTCTACGGGAATTTTTTGCCTGAGCCTACGGGTTCGGATTGTCCCACATAAAAGCCGGCTTTGTGCCACATCCTGCCTTATGGGGAGGTCGGGTAAATTCCAACTCTCAATAAATTTTATCTTTTTGTTATTTCTCCTAGATCCTGTTCTGCCACCCACTTGCTTAATCCCGTTAAGTATGCCAGGTGTTGCTTTCCCTTATCCTTCCTTCCCTCAATCCGTCCTGTGAGTATCAGATTTGCCAACCTCTCCTTTCTCATTACGTGTCCCAGAAATTTCAGCTGCCTCTTCCTGATGTTAAGTATAAGTTGCCTCTTTATTTGCATCTTCTTCAAAACTTCATCATTGCTCACATGTTCGGTCCATGTTATCCTTATCATCCTTCTGTAGAACTAGACCTCCGTTGTCTCGAGTTTCTTATTCATCTTTGAGGAGATTCCAACCACCTGAAGAAAGCCGGACCGTACAACGGCCGAAATGTTTTAATAAATATGGCGACAAAGATGAAGACAATATTCCGAATAATGTAAATAACACTAAGGAAAGAGAAAATAGTCCGAATAATGTAAAAAAAAACAGTAAGGAAAGAGAAAAATAAAAGAAGATATTAATGGAGACGACAACAAATAACGTTTGACAATCTTTATTGTCTTCGGGTATTTGTTCCACGGGTTAAGCTGGGTTGAGTTCCCCAAGCAAGAAGTGTGAGAGAAGAAACTATTAGCATAGAACTTACGATTAAATCTATCCACATTCACTATAAAATGACGAGACCTAGCCGCCAATTGAGTACATTATGGCTATGTACTAAAGAGGGAAGTGATACTTATTTCTTCGATGTACAGAAAATGTTGCACAATGCCAAAATGAGGAATAGGGAAAAGGACAGTCTTCATCTGTCTTATATAAATATAAACTTAGCTAACCACAAATACTGACCCAAATATACGACAAATATTCCTAACACAAAAACAACACAATCTTACTTACCTTCCTTCCTACATCCAACATAATACCTCATTGTCTCTATGAAAAACCAAACTAGTACCTTATGTACAATTTATTGTCCGGGGGGGGGAATAAAACAACAATTTAAAATGAGGCTAAAGAGGAAAGTACATCAGGAAAATTACCATGAATTTATTTATAGAAAAAGCACAGGGACGCTACGTTACGGCGGTGTGAATGTGACTGAAGCCGAGATGTCAGGTCAGGACAAATAACATTGCAGATTCTTTGTTGTATGTTATTGTGACGCCATTTGTGGTGTAATTGTGACAAGTTTTGTGACAACGTTCTGCAATCGTCTGTGGTTCGCTGTACCTGTGATGACATCCAAGGTTGAGAGCATTTGCATATACACCCAACTCGCTATATGCATAGGTTCGTCTTCTCGGCCGTGATCGCTTTCAACAAATAATATTAGTAACGACAAATGTTTTTACAGACACTGGTTGGGAATTCACAACAATACGATTTCTCACTTAGCCGGCTAATCTTTCCCTTCGGTTGAAATGCTGTCCCCCTAACTTCACTGGCCTCTGGGCTCGGCGACTCCTGATTTCCCACTACCAGTCCATCTGTCAATGTCCGTTATGTTGCTCTCACTCATCTGGTCACCTACCTACTTCTCTCACGGCTGGACCCACAGTCCTCTGTCGACTTCCTGCTTCTCGTTGCTTATATGGATCATCCTGGGGTCCCAACCTCACCATCCTAAAACCACATGTCTGGTCAAATCTACAAAAGACTAAAAAAAAAATTATTAAAATTATTTTTAAGTTTCCTAATTTTTTAGTTCCCCAATTCAAAGGCAGCTGTAGACATACTTCTCCCAAAACACTGATACTTGAGTTTGCTCAAAGAGAGACTGGAGACAAAATTCCTACGAAACTCAGATAACTAAGTGGACTTAAATGGAAGGAATCTATCTCCTTATCTTCTAAAGACGTGTTTGAAATAATATTGTTACATTATCGAAGTATCTCTAAATACATAGCAGAAGCACCAGACCAGAAGAGACAACGATATTCAATAATGGACGAATGTTCGACTTATAAATATATAAGATAGATTCTTCCAAAAATATTGGCATGCTCAGCACAGGGAACCAACTTTCCTAAGAGCAGATCTCGCAAATGAATTCTTTATAATCGTCCCACATCATGTCACCGCGAAAAAGGCGAAATGAGTCACTCTCTTAGAGGTTGGCATCACTCATGTTGATGGGGGTCAAAAATAAGAGGTATAAAAGAAAACTGTTCCGTTTTAGACGCGTTAAACTTACAAAGCCATTCCTTGCCCCATTTAACAACAGACGGTAGATCATTTTTAGTTCAGTTACCAATTTGGTCTAATCGAACCGACCAGACTTACTATTAAGACAAGAGTAAATATTTGCGTCATTAGCATAGATACCGAGTTGAGAACTAGTGACATCAAGAAGGTCGTTGATAAAAATTAGGAATCGTCTAGGTCCAAAGGATAGAGACTTAGGGGAGACTTGCATTAATTCAAAAGATATAGAGGAGTTGCCGTTCAAGACAACTTTCATTTCCCGATTTGATAAGAAAGACTGAATCAGTTCAAAAATTCATCCAGAAATACCTTTCAACTAGTGAAGAAGACCAGTATCCCAAGCCTTGTCAAATGCCTTTGAGATATTCAAAGCAACAGACCAAGTTTCACCATTCTTATGTACGTTTGATAGACTCTTTCAGCAATAATCTTGGGTAGCAACATAATGTTCATATTTTAATTCTCTCATTATTATAATGCTCTGTTTCTTTCATATACCAGCTCCTTTTCGGGCGTAGATGACCATGGCTCTCCATAATTTCCTCTTTTTTGTTGCTCTACCATCCATCTTTGTCTCCGTGTTGTCATCTATTCACACACAAACTCCATAAGTAGGATATTCGCTCTTTCTCCTTGTTTCCATTATCTTCAGTATTTCCTTTGAGTGTTAAACTCTCTAGGCCTTCTTTCGTCGTTATATACCCAAAAAATGTCAACTATCACTTCCTAATTGTAAAGATAAATTTCATTATTTACATACTGATTATTAACTTCATCTTTACCATTGTTATCACAACCTTTATCAGGTGTATAACGATCCGGGTAACCTCTCCCCCAATGCCATCAGTTCTTCAACTAGGCATTTATGCAGGTGTCACAGCCATTTGTCCCTGCCTTAGTTGACGAAGTAAACCTGGTAACTGCTGCTCTTGAAACGGACTTCCAATCAGTGGTTAACTCGAGCTAGAAATAGCTTGTAAATTTTAAAACCTCCAAAACAGAACTGCTATCATTTAGTCAATAAGACCCTAAAGGAGATATCCACCTCGGATTGAACTCTCAAGTCTTTGTCTGCTTGCTAAGCTCGCTTGCCCGTTCGTTTCCCATTTCACTAAACGACACGAGCGTTATTACAATGGAAAGAAAGCCCGTGCTGATTACATATTGAATAGAATATTTATATACACTAATTTATTTATATGTTGGTCAACGTAAAGAGACAGTGAAAACTTATTAGTCGTAATTAAAAAAAGAATATAAAACGACGTTAATCAGTAAATGACGCATTAAACATCTAATGATACGCGGCTGTGTTTTCGACAGATTCAAAGTGCCAAATATCATCTGTGTTTTGCATGTCTTTCCGATCTCTACACCGGTTTGGGGATGTGGTGTGAGCAATAAACACTCACTATGTTCAGCGTTAAGAATAGCAGATTAAAGAAGATGGCCGCCCGATGTAAATGTAATTGAATAAATGGGCCGCAGGATATGTGTGCGCATTAATGGCTACGGCAAAGACGATGAAAACGTAGAGTTGGCAGGTGTTTGCCGGGTCTTTTGTGCAGTGAAAAGTTATAAGAAATGTATACTTATTTACGGGAGGGCGTGTGATTATTTGTGCAAAATAGATGTAAAGAAAATACGACGATATCTAAGTGGGGAAAGGGTGTGTTAGCTAGATAAAGAGTGAGAGACTAAGAAAGAAAGAAAGAAAGAAAATGAGACGGATATATAAAAAAAAAGAAATAATGAGAGAGAAAGAAAGAAAGAAAGAAAGAAAGAAAAGATTAAGATAGAATATTATACACACACACAGATATATATATATAGGGAGAGTTAGTAAGTTATAAAGGGAGGAGAAAGAGAGAGGTTTAGTGGAAGGAGAGGGAGAGAAGACAGAAAGGATCTTATCCAGATAGATAGATAGATAGATTTGAATCTGAGTTTGAAAGTTTCAGAAGAAAATATGGGCCATAAATCTTTTAAAATCGGCTCTAGAAAGAAAGAAAAAAAAGAAAGAAAGAAAAAATGAAAGAAAGAAAGTTTGAAGATTATAAATACACACACACACACACACACATATATATATATATAGAGAGAGAGAGAGAGAAAGTTAGAGAGGGGGGAGAGAGAGTTAGAGGTAGGAGAGGAAGAGAAGAGAGAAAGGATCAGATAGATAGATAGATAGATAGATAGATAAATAGATAGATAGATAGATAGATAATGAACCTGTTAAGATAGATAGATAGATAGATAGATAGATAGATTGAATACGAGTTTGAAATTTTCAGAAGAAAATATGGAACATCAATCTTTTAAAATCGGTTCTAGTTATAGTTATTAAAGTGAAATAGATATATTATTTTAAGCATTTCACCCCAAGTAAGATGGGAGTACCACTGGTTCACAGGGGGTTACATACAGTGAAGTTGTGAGAGAAAAAACTGATTTAGCGGGAATGAAAAAAGAATAAAAGATGAACGGGCTTCAAGATATCAGAAGATGGCGATTGACGTTGCATTTAAATTTTTGCAGATTTTATTTATCAGGGAAGCAAGTAAATGGATGGGAGTTCCACAGGTTGGAAGTGCGAGTTAAAGAAGCTATTGGAATAGAAGTGGCGATTACATTTAACTATTTTAGCGGTAAATTGTTGGGAACCTAGATTCTAGTCTATTAGCACGCTTAAATTTATGCAGTCGGGCACCAGGGGAAAAAGCACCACAGAACAGTTGCCATGAAAATATTTGTAGAAAAAGAAGAAGGAAACCACATCACGTCAGTGAGAAAGTGACTGGAGTTGAGATGCCAAGGATAGATAGATAGATAGATAGATAGATAGATAGATAGATAGATAGATAGATATGAATAGAACAAGATAGATAGATAGATAGATAGATATGAATAGAACAAGATAGATAGATAGATAGATAGATATGAATAGAACAAGATAGATAGATAGATAGATAGATAAGATATAGATGGATAGATAGATAGATAGATAAGATAGATGGATGAATAGAACAAGATAGATAGATAGATAGATATAGATATGAATAGAACAAGATAGATAGATAGATAGATATGAATAGAACAAGATAGATAGATAGATAGATATGAATAGAACAAGATAGATAGATATGAATAGAACAAGGTAGATAGATAGATATGAATAGAACAAGGTAGATAGATAGATAGATAGATAGATAGATAGATATGAATAGAACAAGGTAGATAGATAGATAGATAGATATGAATAGAACAAGGTAGATAGATAGATAGATAGATAGATATGAATAGAACAAGGTAGATAGATAGATAGATAGATAGATATGAATAGAACAAGGTAGATAGATAGATAGATAGATAGATATGAATAGAACAAGGTAGATAGATAGATAGATAGATAGATAGATAGATATGAATAGAACTAGATAGATAGATAGATAGATAGAAGCTCTTTGATGTGATAATTATGGCACTTCGTGTTTGTTTGATTACCTTGGATTATGGTATAAGTTGATTAGAAAATAACAAAAGTTATTTAAATGCAGCAAAGTTTTAATAACCCCTACTTTTAATTGCACGATTTCTCTTGTTGCCAGCAAATACATATCTTTACACACATTTTCTTGCCAGAAGCTTCTAATTGCAATTGGTCTGTGTATCGACTTTAATGACCAATTATCTTACACGTACATAGACACACCCACATTGCGTAAAATCAGTTGCAAACAAGCACACAATTCATCAAATACGGGCAGAGATAAAGCACTTTTTAGTTCAGTTGAAATTAGTGTTAGTGTATTCCTGTTTGATAATGCACCAGTCGTTTTTGTTCTTTTCCTCTTAAACATATGAGAGAGAGAAATCCGAAGACCTATCGGAATACAGAAGAAAAACTTACAAAAGAAAAAAGTATTAATAAAAAAAAGAACTGCTGTATAATCTCAGACCTCCAATATGTCAGTGAATTCTGGACAGCACATTTGAAGAGATGAACAGAGGCAATGAGATACGGTTCAACAGAAGGATAGTGAGAATATCATGAACGGAACATGTAAGCAACGAAGAACTCAAAAAAAAAATGGAAACCAAACATTGACTTATAATTAGTATCAGGAAGAAACAGATGAAATATCTACATAATGAGGAAACAGATGAAATATCTACAAAACATAATGACGAAACACATGAAATACCTGCAACACATAATGAGGAAACAGATGAAATATCTACAACACACAATGAGGAAACAGATGAAATATCTACAACACATTATGAGGAAACATAAAATACCTGCAACACATAATGAGGAAACAGATGAAATATCTACAACACATTATGAGGAAACATAAAATACCTGCAACACATGATGAGGAAACATGAAATACCTGCAACACATGAGAAAGATGAAATATCTACAACACATAATGATTTTATAGACAGAGATTCAAATATAGGCGGAAATTCAGCAACCTGGGGAGTGTAGTAACATACAACGAAATGTATGATAGCAAAGTCTTCGGTGAGCGGAAAAATACCTTAGAAACAAAAAATATATTTCTGAACTGTAATATATTTTTCAAATCAGATTAACTTAACTTTAAATTTGCTAATTTCTCTCAATTAATCTTTCAGAAATATATATTTTATTTTTGTAAGATTTTTAAAACGGAAAATTAAGTTTCGTTTACAAATGTGTAAAAATGGCTGACGTTATCGTTGAATAAAAAAGTCAATTCCATTCAATATAATTTCTGTCTGAAATACACCAAAGTATTTTGTTTATCGGATATAGTAGATTTAATCCTTTAACTTTTATTTAAAGCCAAATTGAAAGCTTCAGGTAAGCTTTTTCATTTTTTTTAAATTTATTTTAAACCTTACATATACCCAATTCATGGAGTTACCTATGTCTACTAATGTATATGATGTCTACTCTTGTATATGAATACTGAACAATCTCCTCACGGATGAATCGACCTTAAGCGACAAAGACATGATCCTTAAGAACACAATGAACAGAACATGTGAAGAAAAAGGGGAACAGGAATTATCAAGAAACTGTTGCTAACAATATGATAGAGATATCTGGAACTTTGGAGGTACGTAATGAGGAAAGAAGCTTTGGAGAAATTTAAACACATAAGGCATATTGAGGCCAAGAGAAACTGCATGATCAACTAATAGCATAACTTACTGTTATGGGACCTTACCCATAATAACATAATGAACTATTCCATATGTAATAAATACTGCATCTCAAGAGGAAGCAGGGAGTTCAGCCTGAAGTCGGGCGACCGGCTGATTGGCTTATCGGTTGAACTCTCTGCCTTCGGGCAGGGAGGAACCTGAACGAGGCTACGCCGAAGGGCGGGAGTCTCTTTCGGGGAGGTAAACCGACCCTGAACCCGTTTATACGGGTTCAAAGGGTATATTTTTGGCCGAGCCCACGAGCTCGGAGATCCCACGTTAAACCGGCCTTGTGCCACATGATGCCCTCGTGGTGGGGTGACTAAATACTGTTCAGTCTGAAGTCTGGAGTGAAGTCCGTCAGGAGTCTGTCAGTCAGTCAGAGCGAGTCAGTCAGTCGAGTCAGAGGCAGTCCGAAACATGAGTCGTGTTCAGACAATTACTACTAAACCTGATTGTTCGTACTAACACTTTTCTACCTCTCTGTATATATTCCTGTTTGTAATATATCTGTGTTATTCCATATCTGTATTCGAGTTCTTCTTTATTCGTTCTACCTTGGACTATCATCGTGGTACAAGGAACCGGACCATAACACTTACAAACAGGGCCGAAAACAGATGATCCTAATCAGATATTTAAATTTTGATTTTTTTTCCAATCTACCCACTGTTATTCACGATCTCCCGTTTATTTTATTTTATTTATCACTTTTTCCCAAATTATACATTTATTCCGACCTGTTCGTTTATTCAAATCTTTTCTTTTCCATTTTGTGTTACGAGAGCAAATTAATTTTCAATTAATTTCCAACCTACCCTTTTATTCCAATCTACCCTTCTATTTTTTTTTAATTTGAGTGAATTGATAACAAAACAAAGACCCAAAATTTATCGTGGTGGTAAAAGGGCAAAATCAATAAGAGCAACAAAAATAGGAAGTTGTGGAGAGAATTGATCGCCCCAAACATTAACAGGATAGGCGACATAAAAGAATATATCACGACTAGCCTATATAAGAAAATATTTTAAAATATTTATTCACTCTATTTATGTTACACATCGTGTTATTCAGAAAAGGTACACTCATTAAAAAATTGAATATCTTTCGTACAAATTTAGATATTTTGAATTTGTTTTATTAAACAGACATTTTTTTCCTTTCTGGAGACATCTAAAAATATTAAAATTCTAACTCCGTCGTATTCTAACAGATCAACTTTTAGTAAAGGCCACCTCAAATCAATTTATCCGCGAACGCATATTAAGGAAACCAAGCGATACCGCTATGGCTTTATTTAGCAGATCAATGCATCAGATTTACAAGATGAACTGATTTATTTAAATAAAGAACACATTTCTTTTCGTTTTCGATGAAAGATTTGTTTCTGTCATGCATAATTTCTATGTCCGCCATTTTCCTCGGTACAAATTTAGCCTGCGGCTTGTATCGAAGTCATCATTTTTTTTTTTTTATTTGATCTGATGGCCCTTAAGAAAATAAATGTAAACTGCCAAAACACAACGACATTAAATCTTAAATATTTTAGGCGGTTATAAAAAAAATAATTTTGTGTGTTTAGTAAACCAAACAGATTCAAAATAACACTATTTTTCCAAAAGTAATTCATGTGTATATGTTTTGTAAGTCATATGAGTGCCGAGTGCAATACGTAATAAAGTGGTTGGAGACACTTCCGTTCAAATATGAACGATCGTTTTCATATGGTTTACTCGGAAACATCGAACTCGGGATCATTTTTCCATCCATCGATGTCGATATTCCAGTGGTGTTTTTACTTATTGCTTATTCTAAAACCGTAGTTTTATATTAATATATTAATAATAATAAATGGAATATTGCTGTCATATATGGACTGGTGCTTCCTCTGTACGTCTCAAGGCCTTCGACCAAATCCAGAGACGAATATGCAAGATGATAAGTCCTGATCTGGCATCTCATCTACAGTCGCTTTCTCACAGACGTTTCGTGGCTTCCCTCTGTCTCTTCTACAAGTATTTTCACGGCAACTCTTTCGACAAGCTACTTTCGCTAGTTCCCAGACTGCATGAATTTAAGCGATCTACCAGGCTGGTATCTCGTTCCCACCCTTTCACTGTGAAAACGGTTAAATGTAACCGTCTCTTCTACTCAAACATCTTCTTGTCTCGCACTTCCAGGCTGTGGAACTCCCTTCCCCTTACTTGCTTCTCCGATGACTATAATCTTCAAATATTCAAGTGTAATGTCAATCGACATCTGACACCCTGAGCTTCTTTCCCGTCCTCTTCTGTATCCTTTCCTCAAATACGTCTCTTTACTTTGGTTCTCAATCGTCTATAACCTCTTGCGTGCTAATGGTACTCCTGCCTTGCTTGGGGTGAACTCCTTTATAAATAATAATAATATTTTTATATTAATGAGCTTTTCGCTATAGTAGCGAGATTTTTTTTAATTTAAGCGTAAAACTAGACTAGCGTCAAGATCTCATTAATTTACAGTTGAGCTGGCTAAATGTAGCCGAGAATTCTACGATAACATTTCCTTTTCTCGCACTGCTTGCTTGTGGAACACCCTTTCGGCTCCATACTTTCCAGCCAACTTTAATCTGCAAAAATTTAAATGCAATATCAATCGCTATCTAGTGTCCTCCTGATTACTCTCTTCTTTTCTCGCTTATTATTAATGTTTTACTAATTCTTCCCCACCCTGTAACCCCTTGTGCTTCAGTGGCTTTCCTGACTTGTGTTAGGTGATACCGATTAAAAAAGATATATATATATATATATATATCTTCTGTTGGGAAAAGAAGGTGGAGAAATTTCTCGTCTCCTTAAGATATTATCTTGAAAAGGAAAAAATTTAACGAGATTCAGGAATGTTAAATTATCAAACAAAAAAGCCAACCCCTTATATGAAGCTATTTTTTTAATGAATATTTTTGTTTAATCGGAGACTGAATCTCTGTAAATAATAAACAAAATATATCTTATATATGAGCGTATGTAAAGAATTATCAGATCTTTCATAAAATAAGTTTTTCACACTGCCTCCTGCTCATGCGTGCTTATAATTGGTATTATTGTGGTCACATGATCGAAGTTTGATCCCGATCGCGACAGTTTTCCTGCTGCTATTACAGTATAAACATGGACGCTCCTCCATCAGTGTGCATCAAGGTGAAATAAAAGGCGGTGATCCGAATCAGCAGAGAACATACTATCGCATCGATGATAACTCGCCGGCTTGTTATTACCATCTTTCGAGCTTGCTGAATCTTCTCGTCAGTAGAGAAGGTTGGCGGGAGTCCTACTCCTTCGTGTGTCACGCTTTAATTTCTTTTATGAATAATATATATTAAAGACAATATTGTCTGAAGAAACAATTTTTTCGATGAAAAATGAAGTTTTACAAGATTTGTTTTCATTTTTTACAATTTAAAATTGAATAATTTATAAAGATTTTGAATCTTTTAACGTTCAATTTCGATGAGATAATTCTTAGAAAATACTGTTATTAAGTAAAACTGCACTTACTCATTATATATTTTAAAGCTTATTATAATCTGAAGACCGCAACTATTTTTAAAAGAATTTCGTTTGGTTTTTACATATGTATGTAAATGCAGAATTTCTGAAGTATGGATGTACAAACTGATAAATCTATTTTTAAAAGGTCAAATGTTTTAAAGATTGCCTCCACCCCACATACGGAAAAAAAAAGAAAATCCTAATGAAATTTATCGTCTGCTGCGCCATAGTTAATTATGAACACGTTCGGCGGTCAATCGGCTATCAATAAATCTATTAACCCGTCAGAAAAAAACAAGACCCCGTAGTTAGGAAATGCTTGTATTGAACATTTTATGCTCAAATCAGATTAACTTCACTTAAAACGGAAAATTAAGTTTCGTTTACAAATGTCTAAAAAACGGCTGACGTTATCGTTGAATAAAAAAAGTCTATTCCATTCAATATAATTTCTGTCTGAAATACACCAAAGTATTTTGTTTATCGGATATAGTAGATTTAATCCTTAAACTTTTATTTAAAGCCAAATTGAAAGCTTCAGGTAAGCTTTCTCATTTTTTTAAAATTTATTTTAAACGTAACGTATACTCAATTCGTAGTTACCTATTTTACTAATTAATTATGAACCTGCAGTTACCTTAGCCTTATTGACCTTAACTAAAAATTCACATGAACGACTATAATATTAAGTTTGCTAATATACGGACCGCCAGTTTAATCTCACGGGTGTCTTATTAAATTTCTCCTTCACCTAGAAGGAGTCGTTGCTTTTCTTGGCTGCTCTTCTAGGAATGACGTCTCGATAACAACGCACAGACTCCTGTCTTATGAATCATCCTTCCAAGTCTACTGAACAGGATTAGACATTCATACACTGTTTCCGGTTTAAGATGTTGCTTCCGGTTTTTTTTTCCCCGAGTACTTTCGGATATTCTTACATTCGTTTTCAAGGATTGTTCTGTATGTATTTACGCAACTGGTTTTTAATTCAGACCTTCTCACGTTTGATGGAATCAATATCAAGTCACTCAAAGCGACGCCATATTAACGGTCAAACTGAAATAGTGTGTGTGTGTGTTTGTGTGTGTGTGTGTGTGTGTTCCTTGCTTGGCGTGAACTCGACTGAAAAGGAAAGGAGATATACATTCTATGCATCAATAGAGATAAAAATTTATGCAATGATGACGTCCCTATTTACAACTTTTTACTATAGTATCTGGTAATAAGCCCCTATAGGATTGTATTGAACATAGTAAATAATAATAATAATAATAATAATAATAATAATAATTATATTGCTCTCGTGGCTTCTTGAGAAAATTCCTTTTGGCTATATACCTTTTCATTTTTCTTCACTGCACCGTTCAGTGCGATGATACAGCTAAATCAATGTATATAATTTGAACGATTTTTTTTCCTGCGTCTGGTCTTATTTCCTTGTCGTCACCTGACTATCAATATTTCATAATTTCTAATCTATCAAATGCTAATCATTATTATTATTATTATTTTATTTTATTTTATTTATTTATTTATTTATTTATTTATTTGCCCTCATACAATTGGTCTAGTGCAGTGTTTCTCAACCGGGGTTCCCCGGAACACTAAGCTTCTGCAAAAAGTTCTCAAGGGTTCCATGAGAACAGGTGTGAGCTGCAGTGTGTTCGTACACTCAAGACATGATTTACAGACTTATCTCTGGACAAGTTCTGAATTTCTGTAAAAAGTAGAGTTTCTAGCTAGAAATCAATTAATATAGTGTTACAGTTTTCAACGTTTTACATGTGTGAATAAACTTTTTCTTATTTAACAAGCATCAAGAGCAAAGACAGAAATCTTCTCTCGAATAAAAATGAAATCCGTGTGTGTTTATCTAATGTTCGACCACGAATTAAGTATTTCTGTAGCAAAAGGCAGACACAGGTTTCACATTAGAGAAGCATGTTTCACTTCATCAACTGGCTCTGAAATTAACATTTATTGGTTTCGAGGATATTTTGCCTTGATTTACCTTATGTGTTTTCAACATTGACAGTAAAGGATAAAAAAAAACTGATGCAGCAATTATCTGCTTTCGTTTTGTTTTCATTTATATTATAGGTATATGATATTAGTTACTTGTGTTTATTTTTTACGTTTGAGTTTAGAATTTTTTCCTATGAATAAAAACTCCCTGAGGAAGTATTATAAATGAACTGTATGAATTTTATTTAGCATTACCGAAACATTTGACAAAGAAATATTAATTTTTCTTTAAACCAATTATTCAAAAACATATACTATGATATTTATCACGTGAACTACGATGAAAATTGTTATGGTACCTTACCCATAATAACATAATGGACTACTCCATACGTAATAAATACTGCGCCTCAATCTCTAGAGCAGCGTTACTCAACTGGGGTGCCCCGGAAGCGTAAGGTTCCGCGAAAGGTTTCAGGAGTTCCACGATAACAGGTGAAATAAGCTAATACACTTTTGACTTTTTATTTAATTTTATATATGTAATATTACTAAACACACAAAATATATTCTTACAGACTTATCTCTGGACAAGTTCTGGATTTCTGTGAAAGAAGAGTTTTCTACTATTCATAGGAAATCAATTAATATATTGTTACAGTTTTCAACGTCTTACATGTGTGAGCAAACCTTTTCTTATTTAACAAGCATCAAGAGCAAAGACACAAATCTTCTCTCAATTGAGAATGAAATCAGTGTGTGTTTATCTAAAGCTCGACCATGAATTAAGTATTTCTGTAGCAAAAGGCAGACACAGGTTTCACATTAGAGAAGCATGTTTAACTTCATCAACTGGCTCTGAAATTAACATTTATTGGTTTACAGGATACTTTACCTTGATTTACCTTATGTCTTTTCAACATTGACAGTAAAAGATAAAAATATAAAAAACAAAAAACTGATGCAGCAATTATCTGTTTTCGTTCTGTTTACTTTTATATTATAGGTATAAGATATTAGTTAATTGTGTTTTTTTTTTTTAGATTTGAGTTTAGAATTTTTTTTTCTGTGAATGAAAACTCCCTGATGAAGTATTATAAGTGAACAGTATGAATTTTATTTAGCATTACCGAAAAATTTGACAAAGAAATACTAATTTTTCTTTAAACCAGTTATTCAAAAACATATACTATGATATTTACCACGTTAACTACGATGAAAATAAAATGAGAAAGATATGGTATATAATTTTATTTTTGCGCAGGGGTTCCTTGT